TCTCTTGATTCAATTGGCCCTTTTATTCTGAGCTGTTTTGGAGTAAATAAAGTGACCGTTTAGTTGTAGGGGAAGAGGAGAGGCATTAAACACGGTTTATAGACTAAAAGCCGATAGCTGATAGGCTTTAAAGCTGCCGATCACTCGTCTCAACAGGACAACACAAGCTTTACATTGACAAATAAACGAAAGCTTTCAAATAATCCAATCCTAATCAATTGGGAGTCTTTTTTTAAAGACGGTTTGGTTTTGTTTCACCGCTGCTGTATGTTAATGCGGGTGGGGTTAATGGCGTTTTCCTTTTCCCAGCAATGAATAGGCCTATAATATGATCAATATAATCAATAAGCGTACATCTGAGAGGTGTGACAGAGAGTGATTGACGCCAAACTGTTTCTCGCTTGCAGTAGTCCGTCCAGGGCGGGAGAGGGCCCGTCTCTCCGGACACAAAGCCCGGTCTCATCCGTCCGTCCAGGCGCCGAGTAGCAGCAGCACGGTGCGGTTAGTTCACCGTCTGCCCCCTCATGCCCCATCTACACTTACACTTACACACACTTACACACTTACACACTTACACACTTACACACACACACACACACACACACACACACACACACACACACACACACACACACACACACACACACACACACACACACACACACACACACACACACACACACCACACACACACACACACACACACCCCACACACACACACACACACACACTGTTAAACTTAGTCACAAACATGCCTTTTTCATCTCATCACAGCACAGGATTTAGATAAATAGATGGATATATGGCCTTTTAAATATGACTCACATTCACTTATTGGCTTGCAACAACAAAACTGTCATCTGAGAATATCATGTCACTCCTGCATATTTAACATTTCAGGCAGTGTCTTTAGTCCAAATGCTATTGTTAGCCTGGATGCATGATCACTTCTCTTGGCTGTTTGAGGGTCACTGTGCAGAATGATGCATGCACAGCGTTTAACACAGGTTTGTCTGTGTTCACCTGAGCCAATTGCTGGTCAAAATGCAATTTATTCCATTGTGGTCTTGACTTTTAAAGCCTCCTGTCCACCTAAAGTTAAATAGATTGTTAGTGATGTATCGGAGAAAGCTTGTGTCTTGTGCCAATTCAAATATTGTGTGTGAAGGAGAACTATGACATTTCCAGAGTTTTAAATGGGAAGTGGTACTTATTTGATGGAAAACACATCTGCCACTTTGTATTTTTGCATGTCTTATCAAGAAGGGAAGTTTAAAGAAATTGACTGAATATCACAGATTGTTGTCCAATACAGTCGTTTTTGTCAGCCAGCTCCCTCTTAACTGTACTGTAGCTTCATGGCTGTCACATCCTGCAATATAACAAACCATCATCCAAACTGCTCTTCCCATCTTCATGTATAAGTGCAGTCTTATGGCAAACAGCAACCACTTAAGTGAGAGCAGCTCTTACTGTAAAGGAGGCACGAGGACAGCTTAACATGCTGCACATCCAGCATTTTGATATTGAGATCAGGAAGAGTTTGGCATTAAGCAAATGACCTTATATAGCATCATTGACACCAGGACAAATGAAATAGATAGACGACACAAGCAAGTGCCACTTGAGACTGCTGAGCCTTGTCTCTTCAGAAAAGCCCATTTGGTAAAGAGGCAACTGAAGATAGCCTAACACTGAGGTTCTGGTCTCAAGAGAGGCCGTTTTAATGAGCAGCTCCCTCTCTACTTTCCCTGTGGTCCTATTCATTGCTTGGGAAAGGATGTGCAGGGTCTCATTTGAGATGGATCTATTGATTATCTGAAATATGTATTGAGCAGGCCTGGTGCTAACTCCTCGGCTCCACTTGTTTGCTCTGCAGGCCTCGGAGCTGCAGAGAGGAGCTGATGGAGGAGAACCAGAGTGGTGTTGGCATTGTAAAATGGGCGGTAGCACAAGTTGTTCGAAAACAGGCATTACATATTAAATTATCACTATATTAGCACTAGCATTCAGTCATTACATTAGGGAGTATTGAGTTTGGTTTGAGACAGCACTTAGAGAGCCGCGAGGAGATTCTGGCATGGCTGGGCCTGAACCAATTGAATAAACGTTCCGTGAAATGGTTCTGAAGTGAGGATCAATCAATATGGGGGCTATCAATCTGAGGGCAAATTAAAACAATTGAGAAAAAACAACAAGAGGGAAACAGTTGAAGAAGTCCAGGAGGGTTCTGTGGTGCAGGGACAAACATATAACCTCCTCTGCTCAGGGAAATATCTTAATTATGCTTTGCTTGCAATAAAAGCAAGAACAATGGCAATTCAAACACATGCACGCTCACACACAGCCATGCATACACATGTGCACATTCATATTGATCCCCCCCACCCCACAGTCAAATCAGTTTACTGCTGTTGTCTAAAACCTGCTGTAAAGTCATCAATCATTTGCATACTACCTCCACACTGCAGCCAGCTCTCCCTCCTTTCCTCCCCCTCACCCTCTCTTCTTTTCTCCCCATCCTCTCCCATTTGCACAAAACTAGAATGGATATCATCCTCACTTTTGTTTATTTGCTTCACTTACACTACCACATCTCATGCACGCCTCACACTATGTATAAAATAATAATAATGACGTATTATGATCGGAGACATTCCTTTGTCCTCAGCTCTCACACTGGATGACTGCCACCCTTTTTCTGCAACATCTCCTTTGTTCTTCCTCAGATAAACAATTTATTCTCCATCTGTCTGTCACTAAGCGCGCTCCCGGGTATACTCCCCCATGCGAGGCAGTGCACGCACCACACACACGCACACACACACCTCGGTCTCGCGGATCGATGGGGATCGATCGGGTGGGGAAGGGAGCCCTGATTACTGGACCACGTGTTCAGGAGAAAACCGCGGAAAATCGATCATTGCAGCTTTTTAGGGCAGCAGAACAGAACAGACTCCCTTCAGTCTCCACAGCTACAGCAGGCACGGAGCACCGCTTCTTTGTCAGCATTTCACATCCCGCTCCTCCAGTTTCAACATCACACACAATGAAAACTATTTATCCTCCATAATCTTTTTTCTTTTTATTAACCCTCCTGTCGTGTTCGTTTCTTCCCTCCTTATCGTTGGTGTTCCAGTTCAGAATGTCTAACATTAACAAAAAAAACATGAAACATGACCACATTTTATTTATCACCATTTTAAACAGTAAACAATGTCTACATAGTAGAAAATACAATGAATAGACATTAAGATTTGACGATTTGTGGGTGTGTGCTATTTGATGGACGCACCCATTCATTTCCTACAATAGATTTCACAAAGTTGTCTTAACAACTCTCAAAATGTAATTAAAGTGGTGATTAGCAGTTTGGCATGTTCACATTTAAAACACAATATTTATGATTGATGAAAGTACATCGGTCAGATTTGACAGGAGGGTTATCCGAACTGTACAAGTAGACCAGGAGAATAAAGTAATGATCATGTTCCCACAGAAGACTAACTCGTCATCAACCAACATGAAGCAAATTCACTTTAAAGGTCAATCCTAGTGTTTTTTTATGCATGTTTTAGCCCATTATCCACAAACTCACTGCTCAGCCCACTTTGCATTACTGATGACCGTTTTCAAAGCTTCTGTGAGTTTTTAGATTGATTTCCTATCCTCCCGGCGGCCACTGGTTTCACTTCATTTCACTGCACTTTGATATTCAACTTGTAGAGATTAGAAACTTGCTTGAAACAGGGAATCCATCCCGATAAACAATTATTCGCATTGATGTTTTTTTTTGTTATTGTCACGTTTTAGCTATACTGCAGATGCAAGCAGGGGTCATTAAACCATTGGTCCTTCTTATGTTTATTTACGCATAAAGAAAAAGATTTATCATTTATCATTTGCAAGGGACTGTAAAATAAATGTGCCTGAAAACCCTCTAATGGCTGGAAAAGTGCTATTGTAACTACAGTTATGTAACATACACAATTTTTAGATAATTATCTTATTCTAAACACATTATAGAGACAGGGTTTAGCACTGTTCAAGTACTGTTTCAGAAATATATTAAAGAATAGTTGGACATCTGAGTGTCGATAGCTTTTGGAAAGAAGACTATGGATTTGTATCAACAAACTATGTTTATAGCCTAAATAAGTACATGATCGACGTTTGTATCTTAACTTTTGAACACACCAACAGGAAGAGTTTCAGAAAGAAGAAATTATAATTAAATTTGACTAAAACACAAGGATACTGTAAGCTTTCAAACAAGTTTCAGATCTTCTCAAGTTGATTGTCATAAAAGTATGAAATAAATGGAAAACAAAGGAAGCATAGAAGGTTAGAAATCAATGTGAAAACGTTTAGAGTACTTTGGAAAATAAGAAAAATATAATATATACATAATTGTTAAGGCTGGAACTTACATAAGTCAGGGTAATGGCCATTAAAAGATCCCAAGGGGAGGATACTTGCAGCCGATGTCTCCTTTTTTACTTGGAGAATCTGAAAGTCTGAGAGAATTTTTGTTTAGTTTTACTGACCACAGACGACTCACTTTCTCATCATTATTATACTTTCTGACTTTGTATCATCCTGCATGTCATTTAGGGAGGGGGCAATCTTTTAACTCAAAATGGGATACTGTCTATAGGCCGACCATATTCACGAGTACATTTTAGGGAGACACAGATTCAAATATCACATTACAACACACAGGCCCCACTGAAACATGCATGCACAAAACAATTGCATTTTACCATTTATAACCCTTTTTCACCATCTACTTTTTCCATAGGCCATTTTATTTGTCTGTCTTAAACCATTTTGCATTTCCCTTTATGTCCTCACTTCTTGTCTCATGAATCCCAATGTTGTTGCACATTTTTGAAATATTTTGCATTCAAGTCTGAACTTTGTATAACATTAAAGGATCATAGACTATTTTTAATACTAAAAGTCCTTCATGTGTTCTCTCCACCCCTTCCTCTCTCCAGCATGTAAACGTAAGGAGGAGGACCGAGGACGAGAGCGCAACCAGGTGCCAAAGAAGCAGCGACTGGTCTTCACAGACCTGCAGCGTCGCACCTTGGTAGCCATCTTCAGAGAGAACCGCCGCCCCTCCAAAGAGATGCAGATCACCATCTCACAGCAGCTCGGCCTGGAGCTCACCACCGTCTCCAACTTCTTCATGAATGCCCGCCGCCGCTCCACGGACCGCTGGGACTCGGAGGAGCTCGGTCACGGGGTGCACGGCCACGTCCACACTCCTCATGGAAACAACAACAACAACAACAACAACAACTCCTCACCGATCCAACCCGGCACCTCCTCTGCGGGGACTTTCTCCAAGGCCTGACGGTGGCGGGACGTGTGGTTGGACAGATGCATGGAGGATGGAGGGGAGGATGTTTTTAAGCACTGTAATCCTGCAGAGCTACAGGGTGTGTAGCTTCAGACCACTCATCTGATTCATCTGCTCACAGTGCTGATGACTTGTGCCGATGAATCAGAACCTTTCTAAGTGTTTTCTTTTTAATCAGAATGTTACTCTGAGGGGTTAACATGCATTTTTTTCAATTGTGGCTCTACAAACCAAAGATCCAGTAGCTTTAAAAGACTCAACCACATGTGGCTCTCCGTAAACTCTCCACTTCAACACCAAAGATAATCCATCTACACTAAAACCACCGTGTGGTAGCCTATAGCTAAAGCCTGATTTAGAAAACTCTGCTGATTGTCAAGATGTAAACATACCAAAGAATCACTCATGACAGATAGCTTTAAGAGAGGGAACATTGAGCAGACACACGTTGATCTTTACAAATCAGGCAGCAATCAGACAGAGGTGTCTGCTGGGCCGTGATGAACCACTCCTCATTTCAGTAGCAGACACTGAGGCTGATAGAGAGGTGCGTTTGTGTGTCAAGTGTCTGTGAAATGCTCTCGACAGGTCCTTTGACCCGCTAACCAAGCACCACCTCTGCATCACTGCAGGCGTGCGTGTGCATGTGCGTAATGTTCACATGCTTGGTCGCTGCTGGGGTCTAATTCCTCTGCAGCGATTCAACCTGCTGCACCTCAGTGTAACAGTGCCCCCTGCTGTCCATTCAACCCATATCTGAACATCCAGCAACAGAGTAGCCTGCAGCGTATATTTCTCTTAGGATAAAGACAAGCAGAAGTGTAGTCCTGCAATCACCCAACAAACTGAGACAAAATGATTACCCACAAACCCTTTGATACACATTTGAATGTTTGTTTCTTAAGACTCGTAAGGCGACTTGCTGTGTGGCCACGTGAGAGGTTATTTTCAGGTTACAAAAGGAGAACAATCAAACAGGGACGATACTCCCAGCGTTTAACAAAATTCTTATGCCCAAAGGTAGGGAGTGAGGGGGTGGTCTGCTCTGTTCTAGTGGCCAAACGCAGAGGTCAAATGTCACAATATAGGATTCTGAGTGCCAATGATGTTTGCCTCTTTATGATAATCAGAGAACAGGTGCAGGCCGCCCGTGTCAGGCCTGTGTTGTTACAACCGTCAAACTGCGAGCACCACTCGGGCACGCTGCCTATTCCATACCTCAGAAACACATTGATGTGATCGACATGAAACACAATGAAAATGAATGTAAATAGTATTTAATTTCATCTCTCTTTCTCTCTCTGTCTCTCTATCTATTCTCTATTTATCTACTCTCTTGCTACTCCCCCTGTTGTGTCTTTTATTTCTCCTTTCCTTAACTATTGATGCGGGTAATAATAGTACCATAGTCACATGGTTTCTCTCTTGTGACTACTGTGCTATGTTGTGCTGAATATGTAAAGAAGCACCTTGTTGACAAAATGAAAAAAACTTAAAGATGAAAAAAAAGAAGAATCAACAGACTGATCCTATGCACAGGCGGAGAAGGATTACCACAAATGACAAACTGTGCATATTTGTGAATGTATGTGATGGAAGGACCTGATCTCTGAAGCCCTTTGACTGTCACTGCATTCCTCTGCTGATGGATGTTTTTTGGTTACCATGAGAACCACCACATTACTTTGTGTCTTTTTTTATTTTATCTTTGTGGGCAAAGCCACTTGTTGTGTAGCATCTTCTAGCGGGAGATAATCATATTAGAGAGGAGGCGCAGACAGGAGGAGGAAGGGTGACGCAGGAACATCAGAGGCCCGCCATCTTCGGACTGGAAGGAAGCATTTTACTGACTTTCTTCCACAGTTTGGGTTCTGCCGTGCACTATAACAGATTCCCTGGTGGAGGTGTCACTTTAAAGACGTCCTCTAGAGTCCAGAGGGAAAAACTGTAGCTTTCAGTGCAGATATTAGAAGCTCAGACCCAGAGCGTTAGTGATGGAAACAATTGTGTGTGTGGCTACCTCACAGAATAGAGTGGACTGTGACACAGCCATCGATACCAAAGATACTTCTAGCCTGCCGTGTTCAAACTGGACCTGGGACGTGCACACACACACACACACACACACACACACACACACACACACACACACCACACACACACACACACACACACACACACACACACACACACACACACACACACACCACACACACACACACACACACACACACACACACACACACACACACAGAGAAATGCTTCTTATTGCACATACATCCACAGAGCAGTCGTGCTGCATGGCGAACACATTGAGGTGTTTGTTATGTGGGAAGTGTTGAGTGCCTTTTCCTTCAACAAAGGGATGGACTGCTCTGCACACACCCACACATGAACACACACAGTGTTCCAAGTGAAGGGGGGCACACACTGGGTGAAGGGGGAGCACCACAGGAGGAGGTCCTCATTACATCAAACAAGCAACTTTGATTTGAGTTTAAAACGCACTTTTTTTAACCCAATGAGGGGATACGATTGTTTACCGCCACCCTTTTGTTTTTAAATGTTGTTAACATGCTTGTGAGACAATGTCCTCTCACATCTTCAGGATACACACACCCACACACACTCCCACCAGAGATATTTTTGTGTAATTTGTAACCGAGTGTAGGTGTGTGTGTGTATCTGAATGTTTACAAAGATCCCGCTCTCTCATTGGCTCACATCTAAAACTTAAACCTTTGTAACAACCTACCCATGATCAATAAGTGCAGAAGTGATGAGACCTTTCAGCTCCAAAAAGATACTAGATGCCCCCCGCCGGTGACCCCCGCCCATCCAGACCCTCTTCGCTGGTCCCTCCGTCCAGTAGCATCACATCGAGGCAGGCATGTGTAGACAATTCATCTTGATATACCTCAAATCTTTATTGTAAAGGTTAATGTAGTGAAACAATAATGACAATGTTTAGCAATGAGAGTGACATTAAGGTCACAGCAAAATGATTGTTCGTTTTTTTTTATTTCTTTAAAGGAATGTGTGGAGTAAGCCGTCTTATGCTTTCACAACTTCTGATTAACATTAAATTATTGTTTGTAAGTTTGCACGTTGTCCTTTTTGGAGTAAAGAGAAAGAATAAAAGGAGGATTTGGAATAATTAAACAAGCAGGAAAGGACCATATATGATGATGTATGGGAGGACTTAATCAGTGACAAAAGATTGAGTACAATTTAGGAAGCATATTGTTAAATTGAAGGGTAAAATGACTCATCAAGGACGCACTAATTCCTGTTTTGCATCAGTTTTTGGCTTATTTTGTGTTTGAAGATTGTCTTCTTTGTGTGTTAAAGTGATTCCCATATTAAAAAAAGAGAACCAACCGAAGCACCTCTGTCATTAGGGTTGGGACAATTCTTTTATGCATGGATACTATATAGGTGTATATAAACTGCAGGATAAACTGTACCTCTACAGGTGGAGGAGAGGGGGAGAAACAAGGAAAAACAACTGGGTTTTGGTTTACAAATACATTCTTTTTTTAGCCCTGTGTTGTATGTGCTGTTTGTGTATTTGTATAAAATGTGTGTATTTGTACGTGTTTCAGCTTCATCGCTGTGTGTCTTTCCTCCTGTTGTATGTAACCCTTTCCTTTGTGTGGACGTAGTCTCCACACGTTCATGTCTGTATTTACCCTTTGTCTCATCACACAGGTGTGATTTTCTCTTGTTTTGTTCCTGTATTTCAGCTCGTCCTGTTTGAATCTGAATTCGACCGGCCTGGTGTTTGTATAGGAGCCGGCTGAATCACAAACAGACAGCCTGGCAGCTGAAATACGGGTTAATTCCAGTGCATCAAAATGGCGTCATTTCGTTATTTTTTGACAGAGCTCAGAGCTCTGTAAGCCCAGTGTCGATGTTCTCTCCCTCTTCCCTTACCAACCAATCAATCAGAACCAAGTGTCTTTGTGATGGTAGAAGACAATCAATTTCAAATAGAGCAGAGACAAAAAAAAAAGGAGGGCAAGGGAAAGAGAGCGATGGATGAGGGCAGAGAAAATGACTGGACAGGAGAGATGGGAGGAGGAAGGATGGCTCAGAGAAATCAGTGTGTGTGTGGTCACCTTTAACCTCTGCAGTGACCTTTATGGTGGGGGCTGAGGCACCCTGGACCCTCCCCAGGCCACGATGAAGGTGGTGGTGGAGGGGGTCTGACTTGTTAAGTGGACACCTAATCGAAGATGTTGATCAAATGCATACACACACACACACACACACACACACTTTTCTTCTGATCCTTATCTCCCAATACCAAAGGGACTCTGTTCGTCACGTTGATCTGCCTTCAGCCTGCGGGGGAAGAGTCGAGTAATAAATGAAACAAATAATACACTAAGTGAAAACCAGTATGGTTAAATTGTGTGTTTTGACTAAAATGAATAAAGAAACAAGCAATTGGCTGACTGACTTCATTTTCTGTGTGATGGTTTCTTACTGTGGTGCATTGTTGCCATCTGCTGGTGTAGATGAAAAATGTGTGGTAACCCCAGTGAAGAAAACACAGCGTCGCCATAGCCACGGTTACGAAAAAACTTCGCTTAAATGCTAGAATAACTTCCCCAGGATTGTAAATGTTTCCTTATTTAATATAGAAAAATACCTAAATGAAAACAAGGTTATAGTGGCTTTCATTTCTGAAAGCTTAATTCAAAGCCATGTTCTGGGCCCAGGAGTTCAAAACTTGTAATCTCAATCAGATCCGATCAGATTTTTAAATCCCATTTTCTGTGATCCAGGATCAGACAAATTGGCCAGATGTTGTCCCTGTAGTTCAAAGCAATTCAGGATAGGATCACCCTGATCCAGATTACGATTTTTCAAGATTACTAGATCCTGAATATCAGTGCTTTAATCCTACCGATCGCCATCTAGTGGATATGAAAATAATACAAGGAAGACAAGAGACCACATTGCGGAGACATTTATAATGTCTAATTATATTTTTAAATTTGAAAGGTGATGACAGATGATGGACTTTTTTTTGTTGAAGATATTTTTACTTTAATCTAAATTACATTTGTGATTGACAATCTTTGTTGTGATACTTTTATGAGCATAAACATTTATGTCATCAACATTTGGTTGAAAACAAAATAGGCCACCACAAACGTGAGCAAAAATAGAAAAATAAAATGTATTTCCCATGAAGGCTAAAAATTGTGTATTATTTCAGTCAACAAAGTTTGCCATCTTATTTAAATTGAAACATATTTTAAAATAAATTGTACAGTACATTTCGCTCTGGTAATCCACCCCTCTGGTGGGATCAGGATAATCCAGTGTTTTGGGATCAAATTGATCCCAATCCTGTGTTGTCGGTTTGAACTCGTTTTGAAGATTTGATCCAGATTAAAGCTTGGATTGGATTTCCTGATCTGATTGGATATCAAAGTGATCCTAATCCTGTTTTTTGGTTTTGAACTCCCCAAAATCCAAATCTGATCTGATCAGATAGGGATACAAAGTTTTGAACTCCTGGGCCCTGGTGAGGAATACTAATTCCTGTATGCCTTTAATGTTTGTATGTTGACCTAAAATAAGTAAAATACAACACTGCAAAGACCCAGTGTTTTTTCTCACTTATGTTTCTTAATTTTGAACACCCCAAGGGTTTCTTAAACCTCTCAGAAATAAATAAAACGAAATGACCTCAGTGGAAGGCCATGTTCAGTATACGATAGTGTGCTTCAAATGTAGCAGTAAAAGCACAGATGGAATGATGATATCAACGTCATGGTAGCCATGGTACTATTCTTACATTTTAGTTTTCCCAAGATGTTTTTGGACTGTTTTCCAATTTTTTTGATATGGTAAACCATCATATTTCTCATGTAGTGTAGCTTGCGTGAGAGTTTCTATGTTTTTTACGACACAAATGCTAACAAAAGCAGGAAACAAGAAGAGACACAGGACACTTTTGACAGAGTCACATCATGCTTTTATGACGAAAAGGAGTTAATTTACAAGACGGACAGTATATAAAACAAACATTAAAATAAAAAAAGGACTTATATGTTTGTTTTTTTATAGACAAGTACATTATTGTCTCATCCTTCCCTTTGAGACCAAGCAGCCATGGGACTGAGCAAAACATGGAGGATCCCTGGAGAAAAGAAGCAGCAATTAAATCGTATATTACTATTCCTACACTATTTACAGTTCAACAGTCATTGTCCTCTGTCAGACATGGCAAAGAGGTCTACAGATTTGATGACATGATATGGCTAAAAGATCTAATATGTACAGTTTCTGTTCTTCCCATCCAAGGATCCACTCATCGCAGGGCAAAATCTAAATGTTATGAATCAGTACAGTCACACGCTCTTGCAACAAGAGTCCACATTTGAGTTACAGCTTCTATTATGAGGCCGTCATAGCTTTAATGATTGATCAGTTGACACCGTTCAATGTGACAAGCTGAACAACTTGTAGGCCTACTTATGTTAGCTCTGCATTTAATTGGAGCGCTCAGCACCCATTCCTAGGTTTCAGGAGTCAGTAACGACCGTGTCAACAGGGAACACATATGCATTCGCTTAAAAACTAGGAGTGATTGATGAAAAGTGTTCTGAAATGTTTAACGAGGTCGGTGCCAAGTAAGTTGATAGAGAGAGAAAAGACAGAGTGAGACAGAAGAGAGAAAAGAGAGAAGGAAGAGAAAACGTTTTACCGTGCCAAATTGAGAAAGAGACTATATATTTTATTAGAGGGTTCCGACAAATGCAGAGCTATACGTTCGTGACAGATTCCTCTGAAGAGTGGAAGAGGTAAGACAGCGTTACATCAGCTAAGACCTGGGAGGAAAAGTTGAAAAGTTGAAATCTAGCACCATCTCGTTCTTTAAAGAGGGACATCATCTTAAAAGGTAATGAGGAAACTTAGGAATGGGTGCCAACCAGGTCTGTAAGAGCTGTGAACACCTCTTCCTTCTCCAGAGGGATTCTGGGAGAGTGGCAAGGTTCAAGATAGATCAATGAAAGTATGCCATTAATAATCCTATCCCCAGACAGCATTGATCAGTCCCACCATCCTGCTTGGAATATCAATCGTTTTATCTACAGCTTACACATCCCCTGTGTGGATAGATATGTGTAAAAGTACAATCATCCCGAGTAAACAAATGCTTATTCTGTAAGACGCACACTTCTTTAATGTGTCTCTGAATGCAGGTGCAAGTTATCATTAGCTCCTTTGCTTTGTTGTACCAGATTAAAAACACTAATGGTCCCACCTGCTCTTGCAGTAAGTCGGTTTCAACCAGTCCCATGGCCAGCAACATGGCACCCATAGCTCTCCGTACAGGTGTAGGGGAGAGTTTGGCAAGAGCAATCACTGTATACAAAAGGCATGCATAGATTAAACCTGCTAAGACCACAAGAAAGAACGCTTTTTTTTTTCTCTAGACAGGAATCGACCATTTTTCTGATTGGTCATATACAGAGCAAAATTGGTGATGTCTTATCTTTGTTTGTTACTGATCTCTGTGAAGGGGGTGAGACTGGCGGGGTCTGAAAGTACTCTTCTAATCTACAGATTGAGTGCCAGCTAACCAGGTCAGAACAATTGCTTCTGATTTCAGGTGGAGGCCTCTCCTCATAACTCTCAGCATACATCGCCCGCAAAGGGGGTCACACTATGGCTATAATAAAAAAAATCAGTGAAGTACTGACTTTTGAATCTAACAGTCAATTTGCTCTCGTTAGTTTTTCACTGCATGAGACGCATAGCTGTTTTTTTGTTTTCCCCACCACATACAATGACGCTGGTACATCAGCAGGATAATGGTCCCATTAGGTGCTCTTACTCACATTGACCACGTGGGGTCAGTATTGCCACATAGAAAATGGGGGAGGGGGCAGTTGCAATTGTTTGGTCAAGGTTATGATGAAGCAGTTGTGCTGTTCAAGGTGCTTTTAGACAATCCTTCAGTAATGCTCTACCACACGTCTAATTAAACCTGAATCTGTTTACGATGACTGCTCTGTAAAACCATATTTTTTGTCCAATTAAAGGAAAGTACCATTTTAATATTTCTATCTCACAAATTTGTAAAAAAGAAGAAGATGCAATTACACCATGAATTGAGCCTCCAGGCTTTAAGTGGCACACTGCTCTGAGAGGTCTGTTATGGAAATGGGACTAATAAGCCAAGTAATGACCCAATCAGCCGAGCTCACTTCTTCGTCATCCCATTACTGCTCCTCTCAGCTCCGATAATTCAACTCAAGTCTAATCCAATCAAAACAGCAGCTGTAAGATCTGGAGGAGGAGATGGATTTATTTAGAGCTAATATGGAGTAAGAAGTAACAGGAGAATCAAAGGAATGGAATGCAGTCTCCTCGGATAATAGTGATAGCAAAGCTAAGACTGCTCTTTCAGTTGAGAAATATAGGAATTTCTTCATTAGATTGTCAAAAATGGAATATTGGAAATATTGCATTGGAAACTGTTACATAAATAAAAAACTGAATAACTAATCTGGTAATGACGGCATGACTTTTGACGTTAGGTTATTTTAGTCTGCGTCTTTGACAAGTTCCCCTGTGAAAGGTATCCTAAAAGTGAGGTTGCTGCTGCTTTACATGGGGGTGTCTAGACTAAAGTACACCAGGGGTGTACAAGGGTGAGGCGGGGGAGGAAACGGGGGATTGCTCAGCCCACTTTCTCAAGTATCACGGCAGAGGAGATGAATCAAGCTCAAGCTTCACTACAAACACTGAGAGTCTGTCAACCAGAGAGAGGCGATGACTTGGCTGCAAAGCCGTGTGTACTGGCACTTTGGCGAAGGGTCCATCAATTAAAATGTTAAATGTGTTTCTGAAGCCTGTGGTACTAGATCTAATTGAAGCTAGTTTTCAAGGATTTGTGGGGCTTGAATAGTTACAAGCACTTACTGTATTTTCAACCCTGACCAACATGAACTATTTTCAGTGAATGAACTGTGTCCTTGACAAAAAGTGAACCACAGTTGGCAGAAAGTGAGTGTAGGCAGAGAGTCACTGTATTAAAACAACACATACCCCCTTTCAACACTTTTGTAAGTGTGGCGAGATATCAGAGAAAATACATACAGTACAGTCCGTTTGGTTCATATCCGGACAAAGGTCCCAGAACGGGAAAGTTCCAGAAGTGTTTTTTCAGGAATGAGTAGGGCGTGAAATGAGAACCAATGGTTATTTTTCTTATTTTTCGGGAACCTGGGTCACCCCTTTCATCTTTTGCCTCCACTGATCCAATCAATGCTGCTCCGTGCTTGATGATATCATGAGGAGCAACTAATCATAACACGACAACACTGAGTCACCGACCACATGTACGTGTCTACTACCACACACCCATAATCCAGCCTAATACTGTGAACAGGGACAACGAGGGGTGGACATGTTAAGAAGACAGGGAACAGGAAGAGGGGAGGAGCACAGTAAAGGGGAAGATAATAAAACGAAACTCACCCTCATCTACGCTTACAGTTGTGATTGATGATTGCACAATAACATCATCAACGGTCACTACAGACATTCTCACTGTCATCCAAACCCTATGTTCTACTAAGAAATACCGGGACATGGAAACAAAAAAGGGTTGGCTGGGGGAGAGGAAAGGTCCATGATGAAACGTCCTGTTCTCAACACTCAAATGGGCTGCGACTGTAAAATAAAAAATAAAAGAGGCTGAGACAATTTGTTTCTTCAATTCTCGTTCGAAATCATTAATCTTTAACAGCTGCTGAGTTATTCATCCTGAAACAGAAACTGTGGTTTCATCACCCCTCACAAGGGACAAAAATTGAGTTTCAGAATTTATTTTGCAAAAGTTTGAAGAGTTTATGGTTCTCTCTACCTGGGGCAAACTACACATTTGTCTAAATAGGTTCTACATTTGCTGTAGGTATAGTTTGGATTAGTTATTCCAGTAACTATAACAAAAGGACTCCTAAAACTGAAGGAATTTGTTCCACACACGTCAATCACACAGCTTTTCATAAATCAGTCCCTACATTTGTGTGCAGTGTCCTTCATAAACTCTTATTCACTAGCAGCTAGTTTCAAAAGAGTGATTTGGGAAACAAGGTTGCCATTTCATGTGAGTAAGGTGTAAATGGACTTTTTGAAAATATTGTTAAGTAAATAGTGTCCAATGAATAGTGTATACAGAGTGTAGGCTACAGTTTACACCACCAGTAAAATGGCTTAAAAATGACATCATAAAAAAGAAAATAATTTTTGGTCCAAACTATATCAAGTTCAACTGCTGGTCCTTTGTAAATGCATGTTAAGTTCAACATACACAGACATTAGTTAATTTACATTAGGTGAGTAACATTTACGAAGTTTTAAATGATGCGTAATATCTTGTAATGCTCGCGTTATGTCTCAGCTTTGAGTATTTCAGTCACCTCTTTTACTCTTCACTGTGAGTAAGTCATATATAAGCGAGCTAGCATTAGTGTTCTGTCTGTAGTAATACATACCTTTAACTATAGGTTAGGTTATAAAGAGGCTAAGTTAAAAAGAAAACCAGAAGATGTAAAACTTAGTATTTTAACCATTTCAATTATTCCCTAGATAATCAGAAAAATAGACCATCTTGATTTTTCTTCTTTCTTTTTTTGTCGACCATCTGGTGACTCGCCAATTTACCCTGTGACTCTTGGTTAGTGTACGACGCTTTAGATCCTGTCTCATTTCTTGATGTCTGCTTCCCAATATGCACTCTGAGATGCAAACAGACACAAGCACTGTCCAGTGTGTGGAGACTTCATTAGGTGTTGAGAACAGAACAGTCCCACATGGAGGACGGGGAACATTAAAACGGTAAACAGCCAAAAGGTCACGGAGAACAACAACTGAGTAAAATAAAAATGGAGGACAAAAAGAACACTTCAAATTAAGTTTTTTGTTGTTTTTTGTTTTTAAAACCACAGTACTACTCTCCACTATACGACGCACATGGCGTGGGTAGGGTTAACACGACTTCATTTACATTTTATAATCCTCGGTCTCCAGCCAGGGACCCCTCCCAAAGGAGGACCCAGTGGGGGTGTGTGGGGGTGTTAGGGGTGAGTAGGGGGGATGCACTGGGCTAGGGGGGCAGAGACATTCGCACACTGACCGTCTCAGAGGCAAACAGAGAGCAGACGCGTCACACTTTGCTGTGGCACTTCATCAATCTGTATGTTTATGCATGTGTAAGTAAATGCACATGATTGTGTGATTGTTCTTCCTATCAATCCAAGGAACCTTGATGAGGTTTCAGCACTCCTGTGTGTGGTGTGGTGTGATGTGTGTGTGTGTGTTATGGGCTTGCAGGGTGCAACTTTTTGCAAGCCCAGCGACAGCAGATGGTCTTGTGATCATCACACCAACTTGTAAAATGGTAGTAGCAATAATTATTATCATTTAACAGAATCATGCACAAGCTACCGTATAGAAAAACCACCTAAACATACTATGGCTTTGTTTCTTCACTCAAACATTTACATTAATGTTGGCTTTATGGCTCTACTTACAGTATTGCTGGAATGTAATATTTAAAAAGAGCATGTGTGTCACTCTGTAGGATAGTTATTTCACTTTTCCTGAGAAAAGGTGCTATGAAAGTGTATGTTTTCGATGTGAAGACCACAACAGTGTTCCTGTGTGTCCTCCGTTTGCCTCTGAGTTTGACCTAACGCTCCGGGCTGCTCCCCCCGGGCAGCGCTGGGAAGGTCAGGCGTCCACCAACGCAGCAGAGGGCGGGACAAAGGGCGGAGGCCGGCAGGTTGACCCTCTCCTGTTGATGAAAGAGCATGATCGGGGCTTGTGATGTACCCAGCTAGCCTCCTGCGGTCATCAGCCCCAGTCCCCATTGCTCTCTACCGTGTTGGTTGCTGTGGTTACAGTGGCTGCCCGCGTCCGATGGTTTTGACTTCCTAACCAAACCCTCCGGGCCGCGGGCAGCCACGGCAACCCTCGGTCAGAGCGCTCGTCCCAAACTCACACAGCTTATGTTGTTGCAAAATCTCACAAAGAAGAGAAGGCCAAGTGTTTTTGTAATTTATATGAATGGTCCAAATCTAGAGCTTGTTAAGAATAAAGGAATCTGTCTTTATAGAAAAACATATTCAATTTAAAACAATTTGTTTTATTCTGTGAATTTACAACTTAACTTCTAATTGCATTTGAACATGCGTGATTCTTATCCAGGCACACTTTAGAAGAGCATAAATACAGGTTCTATAAATGGATGGTAGCCAGGTCTCTGATCATCACATTTATTTTAAAATCCCTGACTGCACAAAATACAGTAAAGGGACATTTTAATTAAAGAGGAATTATTTTTCATTATCTCATAATTGTAAGAGAGAGAGAGAGAGAGAGAGAGAGAGAGAGAGGGCTACCGGTGTCCCACAGCTCAGTTTACATGCCAATTCACAAAACTAGCTTTAAAACAAATTTTACAGTATTATTCAGACATGATTTTCACAATAAGCTGAATAAAACCACTGACAGTGAGATCAGGGTCATTTTATTTTCATTCACAAACCAAATTGAGTAATAGCTTCAGTTTTGAAGTGGGCGCTTAATTTGTAATAGAGCCATAGACAGAAACGTATTGTGCTTTCAACCTTCTTTGCGAGTCAGTAGCTGTGTGTGTTTGCGTGTGTCAAACACGTTTTTGGGACGTGCTCATGCCTCCCCCAAGGGACCCCTGGCTGCGTTGTTTCATATCATTTTCATGTTGAACTTCCTGGTCCCTCCTGAGGAGCTACCAGTGACAGGTTCAGATTTCCGGAAGGAGTACTCCACTGTGAAGTTGTTCTTGCGTTGGCCGCGTCCCCGGCTCCACACGAACAACAGCAGGAAACAGAAGAGCACTACCCCCAGGAAGGTGATGCAGCCCATGGCCGTGGAGACCAAGATGGTCGTCAGGTCCAACGTGAACTTGAGGAAAACACGCGTGCTGTTCAGATTTGTGTCGTTGAAGAACTCGCCGCCGTACAGTGAGCGGTTGAGAAAGAAGGCTGAGGCAGAATCTAGCGGGTGGCCGCGCACTGTGAGTGTGGCAAAGTAGGTGTCATTGCCTCCGGCGTTACTGGCGATGCAGATGTATGTACCGCTGTCAGTGAGCTGGGCGTAGCGGATCTCTAAGGTGCCACTCGGGAGGACAGTAATGCGCCCTGAATTCTTAGCTGTGATCCGCCGGCGCTGTGGGGAAATCCAGATAATAGCAGGTGCAGGTTCTCCTTCAGCTCGACACAGAAAGCTCACAGGTTGGCCTTCACGAGCAACGACCTGGGGGAGTGGGAGGAAAGGAATGTACAGACCAATGAAAATACAGAAGAATAGATGGACAATAAATCTGTCGGTAAAACATGTTGTGCTTGTAGAATAAATTACAGTTACCCTAGTTATCAATACATCGGCATTTATACATTTTTGCTAGTGTATCATCTTCTTTACCTGCTGCATCTTACGGTTGCGAATCTTAGGTTTCTGGCATGTAAAGTGATCGAAGAGTGCAGAATCGGTGAAGGTGTTCAGGCTGACCCCTTGCACCTCCACCGGCCCCGCACACACCGGCACTCTGCCGTCAAAGTTGAGGGTCTTGCGTCTTTGCAGGATCCACAACAGACGGCAGTCACACATCAGGGGGTTCCCGTCCACTCTGAGGGTCTCCAGACTGTTCACAGAGTGGAAGGAGCCCTCTTCCAAAGTCTGCAGGTCGTTGGAGGAGAAGTTGAGGACCCGGATCTGTCGAAGACCTCCGAAGGCATGGAGCTCCACTGTCACCAACCCTGTGCTTACCATGATGAGGTCCTTCAGCCTCAGCAGGTCCTTGAAGGCCCAGGGCTCCAGTGTGGTGATGGGATTGTAGGACAGGTTGAGGTGGGTGAGGTGCACCTGGTTCTTGAAGGAAGCGGAGGGGACAGAGGTGATGTTGGTATTGGTGATGGAGAGCCAGCGGAGGTCCAGGCCCTGGAAACTAAAAGGGGAGATGTACTCCAGGTACTGCCAGTGATCGATGTCCAGGCCCCGCAGGTTGGAGAGCTTGCGGAAGTTCTGGTCCTCCAGGGCAATGATGCTGAGGTGACGGAGGCGAAGCGTCACCAGGCTGCGCAGGTACGACAGCGTCTGGCCAGATATGGATGTCAGGTTGCAGCGCTCTATTATGAGATCTTCCAGACCCAGCAGCCCTGAGAATGCCTAGGAATCAGGAAAATAAAAGGTTAAATAACATAACATTTGTATTTATTTTACATATATGCATGATGACTAGCAGTGGGTGTTTGATTATGATGTTAAACAAAAACACACTGATGCTGTCGTAAGTACTGGGAAAAGTGCTCAACATATATTTTAAGTGTATACAAAATAATATATTTCTGAAGTTTAAGCTTAATTTATTTCATGATAAACATTATCTTCATTTGTTAAAGGAATAGTTCAACATCCAAATATCCCGTTCTTCATTAGTAACACAGTCATGATACAGACAAGCTGCTGGAGAGCTTACCTTGTGGGAGATATAAACCAGGTCGTTGTCTCCCACCTCCAAATGTTTCAGACTCCTCAGATCTTGGAAGGTGTAGTCCAATAAAATCACCATCTTGTTCTCGCTCAGGTCCAAGCTGGTCAGATTGCCCAGTTTGGCGAAAGCCCCCATGGGAACTAGCTTCAGCTGGTTCCCCCTCAACTTCAGCACTTTAAGACTCGGGAGGCTGGCGAAGGCATTGGGCTCTAATGTGGCGATGAGGTTCTCGCTGAGGTCCACTTCCTCGAGCCGTGGGTACGGTGCCAGGTCGCCTGCTTGCACCCAGCGGAGCCGGTTCTTGCTGAGGTCCAGGAGTTGTGTCTCTGTGGGGATGCCTTCTGGGATGTTGGTGAGCCGCCGGCGCTGACACGACACCGACCTCAGCTGAGCCGAACACTCGCACCGTGGCGGACAGGCCTGGCTACTTCCTGGAAGTGTCAAGGTTATTATGGCAACCAGAGAAGAAACCAGGACCCATCCCCACACCCTCGGCCATGGCACTAAGGCACGCACACCAGGGCCAGGGGAGCCAATCATGGCCCTGGTCCTCCGACTCCTCGCCTGTCACAGGCAGGGTCAGTGCACCATACACCTAAAAGAGAGTGGAGAAATAGAAAAAAAATATACGGAGATTGATTAGAGACATCATACTAGAGAAAGGGGATGTGAAGAAGATTATCTCTCTGGCTCATAAACATCCACATGGCTGTAAATGATCTGTTCCTGTTGTTTAAGTAATATTATACCAAAAGAGAATTGAGGAATACCATGACAGGGCACTAAAATACAGCTGATGACACCCCATTACAGGAGCTCATTCATTTATAGTTTCCAGTTAGGAAACTGCCACCCTGGGAGCTGTTTCTACAGCAAGGGAACTTCAGCTGAATTCATGCATGTTGCATCTCCTCGGCTCTCTTTGCAGCTCTGAGACCGTCTGCTTCATTTTGACAAACACAATGAATTTATTATCACCACGCATAAATACAGACTGAGCTACTCAGCAATCACATTCTGCCTGGAAGCCACACACGCTACTGCTATAAATCGTGAGGCAAAATGGGCGTTTGAATCACTGTGTGCTTAAGTCATATTATATGTTTGATTTGCTATGTGTTGATGTATGTATGCGTAGGACTTGGCATTTTGGTGGGTATGAATTAAAAATCGTTTTGGTCCTCCTTGCGCCGAGATGAGATGAATCACTCATGCTCGAACATTGCTTCAGGCAACCTGTCATCTCTCCCACACACAGTTTTCAACTTAGAGACAGTCAAAGAGCACCTGGCATTAGATCTGAAACACAGCTCAGTGTCCATCTAGTTAGCAGTAAGTGGTACTACTTTAATACTTTTATACTCTAAACTTGAGCAGAGTCTTTTGCTCTCATGCTATAAATGCTCACCAAAACCCCCAGAATTTGGACTCTTCACAGTTGTTTGTTTTCAGATGAAGTGGAAAAAGAGTGAATATGTCATCAGCACCACCAGGGAGAATAATGTGTAAATGCACTCTGATGGTGGAGGAAAACAGAGACAAAAAGATGTATTATATATGGGCTGGTTTGTGTTTAATAGGCAGTGATCAGAGGGCGAGTCTCAGCTAAAAAAAAACAGCCAAAAGTCACCATTCTCTCCCTTCGCTACGGGCTTTGCCTCGAGTCTCTTTCTAGTAAGATGGATTTGGGAAAACAGCCTCTTGAACGGCTAATCATATCTGACTGTTTCAATGCTTTGGCATCAATAGGATCAAACAGGATGAAATGGAATTTAAAGCTCAATTTAAATGATGGCAGACATAAAATCTTCGCACAACACTCATATTTTCATACATGGTCACACACACAAACTGCAGCAAAACCCCCGGAGATTGTGTCTCATCTACTAAGCCTCGGGTGGATAAGTCCCAAATGTTTTTAAAAACCCTCTGTTTACAGATCTCATATCTGAAAAATCTGGTTAAAACCTGGCACAATTTGTATATTCGCCAAGAGTGACAAACCCAGGCAGAGAGAGGCTGCTGACCCACTTCTCAGCAGCAACTTAGCCTTGCACTATCAACCAGCAGCAACTTACCATGACCACAACAACAGAGCGGCTAACCACAGCTTCTCAGAGGAGAAAAGCCCAGGAGAGAAGCTAAAAACAAACACAGCAAGTGGACAGATGTTCCCAAATAACTAGCTATTTATATGACCAAATCAAACAAATGAGTTCCCCTGCAAGAGAATGCCTGTAACTGACATGATATTTGCTATTCTTGCACCTTTTACTTCTTTACTCCCCAAAGGATGAATCCTCTGTCTTTGGTAAGCCCCTGATTCTGCATCATATCTCAATGTCTATTGTTTAGTTTGGCACAAAATATTATGCACATTCATGATACAAAGATGATGAATCATACTGGCTTTGGAGACAACCTGGCCATTTCTCTAGTGCAACCATGAGGAATTATATATACTGTATATCATTTTATTAAGACATTAGGGAGTTAAATATCTCTTTACAGACATCCAAGGGCCTCCTGAGGATCTACATTAAGCCCCTGACCTTTCATCCAGCACTATCTTTAGGTCAATATTCTTCAGGAGTATTTTCTAAATTCCAAGGGTCAGAATTGTTTCCCACATAGGACCAACCAGGTTTATTAACGGCTGCAAAAGTATAATTGCCGTTAATTATTTGAACCATCTGCCCTCTCTTTTATTGGACAGTCAAGAGGGATGCCATTAATGTCAAGCTCATAACTCATACTGTATAATTTAATATATTTCCGAACATTTCTTGTGTGAACATCATCCACATCTTACATATATATATATAATCTCTACTCAGTTTACCGTCATACTAAATGTGAAAAATACATTATGTGATTACAAACAGTGGCTGTGTCTTATATTCTGAGTGTATGTCGTTTCTGTGTGTGTGTCAGTGCACATGTGCCCAGCTCTTAGGCAGTGTGATTGATGCAGCCTGTCTCAACGCCCCCCCCGAGAGTCATCCTACGGATCAGTGGCAGAGTCGCAGCATGAATCAGTGAGCTGACATTGTGGAGACACACAAGGTCCACACTGCTGGACTCAAGGGCGGGCAGGAATCTTTGAAACACACACACACTTCATCAAACACACGGACCCTGAGGAGTCTGGTGTGCAGCAGACAAATAAATAAATACACTTTCTCTCACTCACATGGCATGGTGGTTGTTATATTGTTGCAGCAGGTGGTTTTATCTGCAGCCTGTCTCTTTATACGGTTTCAGAAGAGTTCAGAGTTGTCTTACATCTTGTTCCTGCATCTGGACATTCAACACACATGAAATCACACCATAGTCCCCAAATCTACTCCACAAAATGTAAATTAACATTTGCCAGATGTTAAGTCTCCACAAGTGGCAAATCCAATAAGTATCCAGACAGATTTTTCTGCAACCGGACAGCTGTCCAGGGAGAAAGGCAAAGAAAAAAGGCCCTAAAAATAACAAATTTTAGGGACCTGACCTAGTGAACAGATGTTGGGGAAAAACATCCCCGTGCAATCACACATGCATTATCACATTCACAGGCACAACACTGAAGACCATAGCCAGATGTTTCACACATAGGTGCTTTTCACACACAGGATAGCATAATTCAAACACTAAGTTGCCAGTAGAATTTCATTATCACTGGCCCCACCATTGTAACCACTGGCCCAATAGCATTCGTCCAAAGTATCGACTAATAATGAAGAAAATGAACACATTTGTTGCAATAGTAATTTAAGCACAAACTACATTACTACTTGTACTACAACATTTGAATAATCAGTTCTTCCTCATTTTCCTCAATTGTTCATATTTGGTTTATTAACATTACATTGCATTTAGCTGCATTTATTAAAATTATTATATTGTGGTCATTGTTGAAAGAAAAAAAGGAGGGTGACATTTCTGCTATGAGTATTTTTATTTTTATAATACACTTTCTGCCTTCCTGTCATTATCAGGAGTTAGAAATGTAATGGCTATGTAATAGAGTAGAACCTTCATTATCCTAAACTGCTGGGACATTTCCCTGTAGCGAATATACCTTTATATTTTCTACTCTTCACTTACTTATCAGCATAGGTCGGCAATGATGTACAGAGCTGACAAAAGATCTTGTTTATATCATCATATTGAAGCCAACTCCATCGATCAAGCCGGTGTGGCTGAAACTTTCTCTCCCTCTTCTTCTCATACATTGTTACTCTCCTTTAACTCCTCTGGTGACTTTCTTTTATTTGAGCCAGGCGCTTGGCCGGTTATCGCTGGTATTAAAAACATTTTCGTGAATGGTTAGGTGGCGCGAAAGTCTGTAGTGAAGGAGCGCGCTCCCGCGAAATAATTTAACAAAATTGCTTGTCAAAATACCAATACCACAGGACAATGTAATTATATGTCTTACTATTTTTTTTGAATGGCCCGAACGGGCAAGTGGAAAGTACGTTATGCTGGCCCGGGGTGTCTAAATAGTGCTTCCGGGCCAGCGGGCCATTTATAATGTCTAGAACTTTCTCCAATTAAACAAAGACAAAACTGAGGTAATGGTTTTTGGAGCCAAGGCAGAACGTACAAAACTTAGCGCTGAGCTTCAGCCTGCAATGTTCAAAACAACAGATAAAGCCAGAAATCTAGGTGTTGTCATGGACTCTGACCTGAGTTTCAACAGTCACATTAAAACAGTTACTAAATCAGCCTACTATCACCTAAAGAACATATCTAGGATTAAAAGACTAATGTCACAGCAGGATTTGGAACAACTTGTCCATGCTTTTATCTTCAGTAGACTCGACTACTGTAATGGTGTCTTCACAGGTCTCACTAAAATATCTATTAGAAAGCTGCAGCTAATTCAGAACGCTGCTGCTCGAGTCCTCACTAACACTAAGAAAGTGGATCACATCACTCCAGTTCTGAAGTCTTTACACTGGCTTCCTGTGTGTCAAAGAATAGATTTAAAAAATACTGCTGCTGGTTTATAAAGCACTGAATGGTTTAGGCCCAAAATACATTTCTGACCTCCTGCTAAATTATGAACCATCCAGATCTCTCAGGTCTTCAGGGACTGGTCAGCTTTCTGTCCCCAGAGTCAGAACTAAACATGGTAAAACAGCGTTCAGTTATTATGCTCCAAATATCTGGAACAAACTCCCAGAAACCTGCAGGTCCGCTGCAACTCTTACTACTTTTAAATCCAGGCTGAAGACTTTTCTTTTTGTCGCTGCTTTTAATTGAAACTGAGCCGTTGTGTTCATCAGTAAAGTGGAACTTCTGTGTGAACTATTCATATCTTAAACTGCACTGTAACTTTTTATTCATGTACTTTTTATTCATGTATTTTTTCTTTTAATGTTTCTTTTATTATCTTTTACTGTTTTGAAATGCCTTTGTCTGAATGTCTTTCATTTTTGTAAAGCACCTTGAATTGCCTTGTGTTGAAAGGTGCTATATAAATAAACTTGCCTTGCCTAGCCCTGAGATGCTTCCGCTTCGGGCTTGGCCTGCTTCCACCGGTCGTGTGCTGCTGTGCGGAGGAGGATTTTACCACCGCTGGGGCCTGCTTTCCACCTG